ATTGTATGCTTAAATCTGCATCACACTGTTATAGCTAAGAAAATACATCCGCCAACGAAGAAGAGCGAGAAGAACAAATGGGCTTGAAGGTACAATATCGATTTCAAAAAATGTTGAGTGAAGATGACAATATGACACACGAATTAAAAACAAGAAAAAGTAAAAAACACAAGATTTACGTGGTTCGGCAATGTGCCTACGTCCACGGCGGCTGAGGGATCTTTTATTATTCTCAATCGTATCAAATACATCAATACACCATGTATTTATACTAAAACCCTACAAGGTATAAATTTACTTAAATACCTTGTACCGTACCGCGGGGGCTCTGCCCCCGCACCCCGTCTATACCGCGGGGGCTCCGCCCCCGCACCCCCGCACCCCCGGCCCAACTAATCGACCCAGCCCAACAAGGGCTCCACTCCGCTCACTTCGCTCGGTCGCTCCGCTTCCCTCGCTACGTTCGCTCCGTTATGCTCGCAGGCATCAGCCTGCCCTCTTCCTTTGTCAATATATGAGCCATACCAACAAAAAACCCTTAAATTTTTTTATTTCATTTTTCGTTTGTTTGCTCTTTATGCTGGCGTCGATATTGATGATATAATGCGTGGGGGCGATCTTGATTTTTTGTCGTGATTTGCGGTGAAGATTGCGCTACTTCTGTGTAAAATTTTTGTTATTTATGGATAGTGGAATAAAGTTCAGATTTTTAATTGTTATTTGTTAATCTTGATTTATTAGTCATATGATAAAGTTGAGATTTTTATTGTTTTTTCTTTGTCTCCTGGATTTGTCTGTCTGTCTGTTACTATTTTAGAATTACATAAAATGTCTTCTTTTTTTTTTTATTATTTTCTTTTTTCGGGAGACAAATTTTAGTTGGATCCTAAGATAAAAGATTTTTGGGAAATGCTACGGTCCCGTTACGTAACCATTCCGTCGGGGTTTGTAGCCGTTAGATATAATTGATCTAACGGTTACAAACCCCGACTGAATGGTTCCGTAACGGGCCGTAGCATTTCCCAAGATTTTTATATATATCCCAGTGTATCTAGAAATTGTGGAGTTTTGATTTGAGCTTCAATCCATTTTTACCAATTTTGTATGAAAATCTAATGATTGTCTAATGCAATGTCTAATCTTAAATCAGTTTGGAACATTTGCCTGAGTTGTTTTTAGTATCATAGGATTATTACTATACAACCTGGATGAACATTTATTAGATTTTGAGCTTTGAATTTGATGGAAAAAAAAAATAAAAAATTGTGATTTGTTCCAGGAAGAATTTGACGAGTATGCAGAGAAAGCAAAGACATTGCCAGAGAGTATCTCCAATGAGAATAAACTTATTCTCTACGGACTTTACAAGCAATCGACTGTTGGAAACATCAACACAGGTTCGTATTTCGACTATCACAATTTGTATCGCATTTCATTGAGTCCAACTGCATTTCCAGAATCCATGTTGTATGAGGTTGACTCTCGGTTCGAGAAATCAAGATAAGAGGATCGAACCATTTCTTCTGACTCTTTTTCTATTTGAAAAGGGTTTCAGTAGGGATTTCATTTCAATGGATTGGCATAATTTTTCTGCCGCATGTACATCCCCATAATGATGGTGGTTTTCCAAAATCCAACTTTGTTGTTCAGCAATTCTCCAAAAGGGTCGGGGGGTATGATCGCCGAATAGGATAAAACACGTATCTGGAGGGTCCCAAAAGGGAAAACACAATTGGGATTTTTTTTGGAAATTGCGAAAATTGGATCCCGGTCTAATAAATCCGAATAGATTAGATAGCAAATAACAGACAATTGTTGTGAATTTTTCCAACGAAATAAGGAAAATCTGTGCTTTGATCCTAGTTTGTTTAGTTTCGATGCCAATGGCTGATTAAACATCTCATTAGTTCAAAAGATGACCTTAACTACTTAACTCTAACAACATATTATCTTACACTTAGCTTTTAGCTTATGTTAAACATAATGTTTTTTTTGTCCACTTGCCGTAAAACGGAAAAATTGGAGATTTAGACCTTTAACTGACACCAAAATTGTGAAATAGTCTAGTGGTTGCATTGATTTTATTAAACATCCCGTAACTGCAAAAAAAAATGGCTTTTGGTCCTTCCACCAGCAACTAGCAAAATCCGATCAATTTGATGCTGAGTTGGGTATGTTAGTCGGCTGCTATGTATACAAAAATAAAATGAAAAAAAAATCTACGTTAGCAACCGGTCACAGGGACCGGCTTTTGCCGGTGGAAGGACGAAAATTTAGGATCAGGATGTTTTGTAAAGTCAACGCGATCATTGGACTACTTCTCAATTAGGTGTTAACAGGACTAAATCTCCATTTTTTTTCCTTAAAGCACACCTCTTGAGTTTTCTTTCTTCCCTCTAAATTTGCAGGCTGTCCGGGTATGTTTAACATGAGGGATAGAGCTAAGTGGGATGCTTGGAAAGCCGTTGAAGGTATTTGATTTGCATTCTAAGACTAGAAAATTTTTGCAGCTTATTAGCAGGAATAAATTCGATATTTCGAGCTGCATACAATTCATAACATGCTAATTTCGTACGAACTTCGTGACAGGAAAATCACAGGAGACAGCAATGAGTGATTACATCACTAAGGTGAAACAGTTGCTGGAAGAAGCTGGGGTTTCATGCTGATTAATTCTCTTTGAATATTATTTGTAATCACTTTGTGATGAAATTAGTTGCTATTTTTATTCATATATGCTTAAGAACAATGATGTAAACCACTAAATGCTTCGATCTCGTTCTCTGTGGTTCAGTTCTTGGAATAAAACGAACCGATTCATTTATGCCCAGTGTCTCGGTTTTTTTGTATCTGCTTAATGTTGTTTAGATAGTACGGTGGAGTCGAGTTTTCTATGTACTGGCTAAGACACAGTATAGCATAGCAAATTACAGCTTCATATACAAAATGGAAGACCATTTTGTGGTGTCCACAGACAGACTTTTTTTTTTCATATCTACATTTCCTCTTAGAAACTCTGTAGTGTTAAATAAGTGTCCAAAAAGATGGCCACCATAAAAGTTCAAACACATCCATGTGAGTTGGTATTTTGAGCTGTGAAAATTGGAATTTTTCCCAATGGTCCCTCAATTGAAAAGCCCACAACATATTCATTAGTACATTCATTTTAAAGTAGCTGGCAATTAATTAAACCCCTTAGTTTATATCTTGTTATTTTTGTTTGCTGTTAGTATTTGTGGCTATTTTGAAACTATTTTTAGTGTATTTGCCAAGCAAAACACACCAAAAGCACAACAAAAAGCCTCCAAAAAAACATAACTTCATAGCCATAACTTGAAAAAAAAAAAAAAAGAGGGGGACTGTACATTTTCTTGATTTCCTACAGTATTACCATACAGTTTGATAAAAAAAAACAAAAAAAAAATACAATTACTGCACAAAGGGATACCTCGAGACGTAATATTCTCTCGCACGAGAAGCACCATCTCGGGCCAACAGCCCTTCGAGATCGCCTATGATCCTGGCCAGCCATATTTCCAAATTCCTCTGAATTTCTTTGAAATTGTTTCTGATCGAGTCGAATGAACGTTTTGTGGCCAATTGGGCCGGGCCTTCAAGGTAGCTCTTGCCCGTTTCTGTCTGAAGGCCCAGCAGCTTTTGGTTGGTCTCGGATGCACGCTGCTGGAGACGAAAGGCTTCGAGCAAGAATTCGGTTTGCATTTGTGTTCGAAACTCTGAGCTGAGGCTCGTTTCACATGGATCGCTTGCTTGCTAATAAGTTCAAAAAGGCAAAAAAAAAAAGCACAATTTCAGCTTATGATAGTTCATTTATGTTTTATGATATTAGTATAAATAAAAAAAGGGAATATAATCTTTGTGATTTTCATAGACAGATAGGTTCAAAATATAGAAGAAGAAAAGCTATTATAGCTCAAGTTTGGTTTTTTTTTTTTTTATTTTTTTTTATTATTTTTTTTTTTTAAAAGGAAAAAAAAAGTATCCCAACTAGTATGAAATCATTACCATTCTTTGGCAAAGATCGTCGATTTTTCCGGCTAATGCCTGATACCTCTTGGCCTGCTTTCGCATTTGTGATGGTACCTTAGAGAGATCTGCTTTTCCGATTCTTTCTAGATTCAGTAATTCTTGCTCGAGCACTTTTAACTTGGAAGAGACTCCGGTGGAGTCACCATTGACTTTCCAAGGGGATTCCCTTCTGAGAAAAATACAGAATCGAACTAAAAAAATAAATTATGGCCTTTTTGAGTTATGCATCGCATTGTTTAATCACATATAGAAAAGTGATATTTATCGATATACCTGGACACAAAATGCTTCATATTGTAAAGTGATTCAATTGATTCGTAATGCATGTCCTGCACCAGAAACATAAAAAAGCTATTATTAAGATTATATTTAACGGCTAGTGTTCGACTGGATAAGGTATAGTTTGGTAATAAAATTTAATTTTGAAACAAAAAAATTAAGAATAAATTACAGCATCAAATTGGCAATGGTATGAAGCTTCATCAAAACATGCTTTCAGACAAGACTAAACAAACAACTTCACAAATCACAAGTAATTACGAGAAATAGAAACGATCTCAGATGAGAAGATTGATTGATAAGTAAGTAGAACAATTTAGTTAAGAAAATCCATACATGTGAAAATCTAAGGTGATAATTCACACAGTACATGAAGCAGGTGCTCAATGCCTTGATCCTTTTTCCTTTTTTTTTTCGGTGAAAAGATTAGAATAACTGAATAAAATTAATAAATGCGAGGTACTCTAACTTGTCCTAAGTCCATATAACAGACAAATTGTCAGGCAGCCATCAAATTATATGTCGGATTCCATCACAAGGATTTGGTGGGAAGATAAGATGCTACACTTCACAACAGGTGGTCCAAGAATCTAACTAGGAAGGAAGAAAGTTAAAGGAAAAAAAGAAAATCATAATGATGTTTTATCAGCAAATCCAAAAGAAACTCGAAAATATAATAATTAGGATGCACCTTAAAAGAGACAAATTTTTAAATTTGAAATTTGACTGCTAACACCACAATCTTGTCCGAACTATAAGCTTCATTACTACAAAATGAAAGTCTCAGTTTAAAATTTAATGAAAGAAAAACAGACGGCTACAAAATTTCTACCCACCGGGATAGGAAAGTACAAACAATTGCAGAATACATCTATCATATAGAGATCTCAAATTTATTGGTCCCAATAGGATTTTTCACAAACATATCCAACTTATATCTCTACATTTGTGGCTGAAACGAGTATTCATTCTTCTGTGATAAATTAACACATTGAGCAATCAATATACATAACTCAGCGGTGTCAACACAAACTTCACCTACGTCAAAGTAATACAAATCAAGAACGAATTTAAGAGAGAATAACCACTATCAATCAAGAAGAAACAACAAATAACATCTTGATATGCAGCATTACTCCAAACAAATTTCCTTCATGGGAGGTGTCGCAGCTTAGCACAATCTCCTTCACCACACACTTAAAGTTTCAAGCTCAACAATTAACAGTTCCAACAAATAGAAAACTATACATAAACAAAACTACCATAATAACTAAAGAACAGCAAAGATATCTTCGAAATTCCTCAAGGTTTTATGCACAAGAATCTTGCTAAATCCCTTTTCCAACAAATAGAATCTTGATAAGTTTCAAGCTCAAGAATCAACAGTTCTAACAAATAGAACTATACACAAACAAAACTACCATAATTACAAAAGAACAGAAAATTTATCTGCAAATTTCCTCAAGGTTTATGCACATGAATCTTGGTAAAATCTCTTTTTCATCAAACATAACATCACATAAATATCCTAAAACTTCACTTGCTCATCAAATAGATACTACAAAAGAATCATAAATCAAGGCACAAAGTTCTTCACCTGCCAAAGGCTTGCTTTCTCAGACCAAAACTTCGAATCTGCGACAGAACTAAGGTAATCCGAACCAAAACCCCCACCGTCACAATTACCCTGGCCGTACCTCACCTCCACGCCACCGTACCTCTCCCCCCCGCCGCCGCCGGCGCCGCCGGCGCCACCCTCCGCCGCTTCACAACCACCTCTGCTCATGAAATTTAACATCTCGTCCCTCTCGCCGACCTCCCTCCTCAAATCCTCTACCCTCGCCTTCAAATCGGCCTCCAAGCCCTCGAATTCCTCGATTTTCCCCTTCAGATACGCAATCTCCTCGCCGCACTCGTCGATCTGGAGCAGCAGCCGCTTCTCCTCCTGCTGCCACGAGTGCCGGTGGCTCGCGAAGATCTCGACAACCCTAGCGTTGGCCTTCGAGTCCTCCTTCCGCCTCGAGAGCAGCTCGCCCAGCTGCTCCTCCGCCCGCATGAGCTTCGAGGCCAGGGCTTTGTTCTTGGCCTGGAGGTTCGAGATTAGTGCGATTGAGCTTCTGG